GAGGCTCCTAAGCTTTTCGCGATTGCCCTGGAATCCATCTTCAGCCGTCTGAAACGGAGCGGCGGCATCAACATCGATGGAGAACATCAACGGAGAACAGCTCACTCATATGCTCGTTGCAGACGACGTCATCGTCTTCATTAAAGACCCGGTGAAACTCTTAACAAATATAGCATGGTTGCGCAAGTCACGCATTATTGGTCGGGAGATGAACGTCTCCAAGAGGAAATGGACGCCAAGCGACCACCGCGCCGCATGTACCATCCTCACTGACGGCGCAGAAGTGGAAAAAGTCACACGCTAGCTATGCATACCTCAAGAACGTAATAGTCGAGTCAAGTCAAGTATATTAGCTTATGCAACGACCGTTGCTATCAGTATAAACGCATCTATTAATTTATGATTAAACAGGCCCATCAAATATACATATATAGAACATCAAGATTGATGTAAAGTCGTAATATTACGTACAAGTAGTTGTGCGCTGGCTGGCTCAGAGTCCTTGCCAGAAAGGGTGAAATGGATCCTCGGTAGAGATCTTCCTGAGTTGGAAAAGCGCCGAACCGGCTACGGGTGTCTTGATGCGAGGGCAGTGCGCGCTGACCTCTGGCTGCAACGGCCTGACTAGACTAAACGGGTTAATAGACTCCAATAACAATACCGACGGTGACATCCGCAGAAGAGCGAAAACATGTTTGAACCACATCAAACTGTCAATATCCAGGAAGACATGCAAGACTTTGCCATTCGACCAGCCATGGTTTATCGTGCTGAGGAAAAGGAACTAGCAGTAACTCAAAGGGCAATGGAAGGAACAATATGTAAGGCCTTTCGCCCAGACCAATTGCGTCTGCGACAATTCTGTGTAGGGAATTTAGACTTTCACTGCGTCGCCCTCCAACAGACTGAGAAGACCCTATGACGAAGCTGCTTGGTCAACGGTGAAAACAAAGAGTACAACACCGAGAAGAGTGGCGGAACTCCGACTTGTATCGGTGGTACGATCGCTGACGTAAACAACTCAGACAGAAGGACAGCGTGTACAGAATGCGCTATTTAAGCTGCATCTTTAACAAAAAATCTATAGCGAATTTATCCTTCTGTTTAAGTTTATGTTTAGAAGACAACAAGCAATAAACCGACTGACTGGCCGGCTGATTGACGTTATTTATCCTTAGAAAGTAAAATGGCCTTTAAAGAAAACTACCAAAATGCCAAAATTTGGGCAAGGACTATCATCCCTCAGCTTAGCCACGATTTAACGTCTTCCGTTTAAGGGATAGATAGCGAGAAACAGATTTTTCAAAACTGTTACTCAACCAAACTTTGGAAAACTCTGTTACGCTATTTATCCCTTAAACGGAAGACGCTAAATCGTGGCTAATCTGAGGGATGATCTGAGTGATGCTTGGTGAAGGATATCAAAATGACGAAGAGAAATGATAAATATCATTCTTCATCCATTACCATTACCAAGATGTTGCAAATCTAGAGTAAAAACTACGTATACATTGTACTTTCGACTCATTTTCCTTCTATGAAAACGATGAAATTTCTTCTGCCACTGCAAGGCATCTGCAATGATTAGCAAACTTGTTCCTCTTTCTCTGCACTTCCTCGTCATTCTACCCTTTCTTTTCCCCGTCGTGCTTTTGATACCCTTCAATTTCTCCCTCAGCGTCCTCGTCCTCTCCATGACATAGGAGACATCAGCGGATGTCGTACACGCATTTCACATGGATGAAACAAATGCATGCATATTCTTCAGTCCTTTCGATGCTCAGTCTAATCCCAGCAGGCCTTGCTGTCCTGTTGGAGGTCTTAGCAGCGATCTGCCATCAGGCTTCAATTCACTAGTCGCTTGGCAATGCGATTATTTTCCACTCGATGGCATTGGCCTCACCATCTTAAATGCTTGTAGGCAGTGAATTGATCATTTTAGTTGATTTTCATCTACAAAAGCGTCAGACACCATATAATAGAATTTTAACTCTAAATTCGTTCAAGTCTATTCTTAACATTTATCCAAAAATATTCATTTCTGCCTCTTCCACTAATCTGCTATCAGTTTTGTTAAGTGTTGCATTTCTAGGATATTCAGAATGCATAGAGCTAGTTAACTGAGTTTGTCGACTGTCCACCTGCAACCAATGTGCCTCGAAGGCATGTGTTCATTCAGGCCATTCACATATTCGATTAGCAATCACGTTGTAAAAGGAAAATGATCGAACAACGCACTTCCTTGGCTATATGCAATCGCAAATATTATCCGTAGTACATATCCGTGACGCATGCGTGGCATCTGCCAAGCGCGATGCCATAGAATGAAAGCTTATATGCAAACATCTAAAAACGTACTTTTCCATGGAAGGTCGAAATATAGCGAAACTACGTTATGAAGCCGCTGGTATGGTTCTGCAAACGAGCCGCAAACTCAGAACGGATCGATCAAGGAAGTCATGGTGTAACCCCGAGGACGTTAGTAGGTAGTGTTGTGGTTATGCCGTCAGGTACATCAAACAACAGCTCTTATGGCCAACAGCCAACAACAGCTCTTATGGCCAACAGCCGATGCCACCTAAGCACCGCTCACAAATCATTCAACAGCAGAAAAGAGCAAAGATCAGCAGTTATCAGGTGGACGAGGCACTATGAAAAGACGAGGCCACGGAACTGGGAACAAAACTCACAAACAACCTCATACTATGCTCTTTTTCCTTCTCTACGTACAAGTTGTCACAGATGATTGCACAGTGAGGATGACATAAAATGAATGTACTTCTGAGCTGCGTAATATTTCATAAGTATACCTCAACC